CGTGGGAATTCCACTGTGCCACCACTAGCGACCCTCGGTGCTCTGATTTCCCTTCCCCCGACCACACCTACTACTTCACCCACCCAGGATTCGTTGAGATCACCACCAATTTCCCTCCTTTCCGCCTCCTTCTCCCGTATCATCAACTCAGTGTCGTTCCATGGCTGGCCATAGCCCGCTATTGGCCCAATACGTTTTGCGTGAACTGCCGACGCAGCGGCGCACCGAGCACTCCGGAATTCCGAAGGCCCAACCCAAATACGCAGCGGCCTGCGCCACGTGGCGGCCCCCGACGGCCTAACTTTCTGGGACCACCTCCACCACGGAGGAATTTTCCCGTAACCCGTCGTCCACAGTGTCCCGGTCCCTTGGGACTGTGAGACCCTTGCGTGCGCACCCCTCGCTCGCCTAATTGCATTCATATCCTTAAGACTCCCCCACTTCCCCCAAAAATCCTTGGCACACCCCTTTTCGCACTTCCAGGCCCACATCCCACTCCGATCAGGCAGTCGCGCCGGGCGTGAGGTTGGTACCGGAGCCCGACACGTGGCTAGGGTCTTAGGATTGATAGCACGTTAATTAGGCGCCCTGGCTAACCGAGGGCGACCTCGCCCTCGGAACGCCCATAGACGTGACCCTATCGTCACCAGAAGCAGATCGGCTAACCGACGAGCAACCAATATGGCTGCCAATGTGCAAAATCCGGTTCCGCAACAAAATGCTAATCCACCTAATCAACCTGCCCCACGTGCACGAGCTCCCATGTCCCCACCAGATCTCTATGTGTTTGATCCAGCGCACCATCTCGCAGGAGCATGGCTGGCCACGCTTAGAGCACAACAGTACAACGATCACGAAGCATAAATCAACATTCCGACTCGAATGGGAGGAAACGCTCATCACTGGTATAGTACCTATGTGTGGGTGGACCTCCCGACCTTCGAACGAGATTTCATGAACCGATTTGATTATGTCCACCCTAAGCAAGCGCTGTACATGATCAAGCACCGAGTGCAAAAACCGCTCGAATCCGTCGCGAAATATCGAAACCGGTTCTACAGAATGTTCGTAAAAATTGAGCGAGGTGAGCAAGTAGGGAGAGATCTGTTCATTGACGGACTCTGCAGCCGGACAATAAGGGCTAAGTTGCGAAAGCAGTTTTCCCCCATCACCCATACGTTACAACAAATTATGGCTGCTGCGGAAAAAATGGAACGGAAATTCACGGCGAACTTCCTGGAAGGAGAAGACTACCCTAGAGACGGAGATTCTACCGAGCTCGCTCGAGCAAGAGCGGAGCTGGCTGCTTTACAGAACAAATTTGAAAACATGGGGTTTGTATCAGGACCTGTCACCTATATGGAACAGATAGGCCCCAAACGAGTAGTCCTAAGTGAGACTCCGAGCATCTCTGCTCCTATGATGCCCCCGCCCGTCAGGGCATTACCCCTGTCGCCGGTTGGGGCTCCTGTACGATCAAACGAATCGGCGGATATTTTCGAACTAACCAAAACCTTGATTAGTCTGATCCAAGAAAGCAAAAAGGAGCAGCGAGAGCACAATGCTCGGCTGGAAGCCATGATGAGGAACATGCGACCTATTGCGGTACGCGCGCCTCCGATGCCGCAAGGATTAGCCCCGGCCCCTACACTCGGGGGAGTTGCGAACAATCTGAATGTCTGTTATGCCTGTCATCAG